AAGATTTCTACAAATTGGAGCCACTTAGAATATATTGCTGTAATATAGAAATCTCTCCCTTCCATTTTCCTGTAAGTTTCTGTAAGGTTTGCTATATTCATAGACATCCCTACTCTGGTAGGGTTGGAGAATGTGTGTGTCTGTGTGTCTATGCTTAAAGGGGGAATGCCAACTCCAGATTCTGGGTGAACATAATATACAATAGACATAGCAAGACAATCCATAAATGAAAGTAATTCAGTGGAAGCAAAAGCTTGGAGCCAGAATTGACCCTGAAATTTTGCAGAAATTTTGAGCTCCCAGAGAATTTGCAGAAATTTGGGGAGGAACATTATACATGATAGGACACAGAATGAGTATTTAATTATATTGAGATCTTAAGTGCAAGAAGATCCCAGCAAACAAGTAGCTTTGCATCATAGGTAAGTAGATTATGACTAATTAAAAACAATGAAGGCCAGAAAAAGAAAAAAAAGCAAGCAAGCGATGGTCACTTAGTGCTCGTACTGGGCTATTAAGAAGTAAGTCATGCCAAACTAATTTCCTTTATAACGGAGATTACTAGACTGATAAATCCACAATGCCACAAGTAATATATCTTGATTTCAAGAAGGTCTTTCAAGAAGTACTTGAGGATGAAATAAAGAAGCATGGTTTATACAGCAGTCCAATGAAGCAAGCTTGAAACTCATTTCAACAATCTTACTCAAAGGGTGTTCACATTTGATTGGTATTATCTAAAAGAAAGATATAATACTGTTTTCCATGTCATTAAACATTTTTTCATGAATAAATTTGAAAATGATATCAGGTTAGGAAAGGAAGACAAAATCCAGAGTCAAAGGATCTTGATGGACTGTAACAAAAAGCCAGAATTAATAAGATAAAGTTCAGTGAATATAAATGTAACTTCTACCTTTACATATTAAAAAAAAAAAAAAAAAACTAGTATCAGAGGAGGAAGACCTTGATTAGGAGTAGTTTGAGCTCAGCGACTTGGAGGTTTTAACTGCTTTCAAAATCAATATGAACTAACGACACAACAAGGCTACTGTGATAGGTAAGATAATGTTAGACATTAAACCAGGGATGTAATTGTCCATTTATATCACGGAATGTTCACATTGGAGAGTTTGTTTTGATTTAAAGATACTGATTTCAACATTTTGTGGAAGTTACCTACAATCTAGAGTGCATAAAAAAGGATTTACAGAGATGATTTGGGGGACTTCTATTTCTTATAATGGCAAATTAGAAATTCAGTCCGATCTTCTGCTGAAGGAAACAAATAAGGTTTGATGATAAAACAATTCATCTTAAAAATATCGAAGAGCTAATAAGACAGTGAGAAATTTCCTGAAATGGGTTTCAGAAGAGGCAATGTTCAGTATACAATCAAAAATGGCCATTCACATTAGAAGACAAGACACCATGAGCAAAAAAGGGAAAATGATAGCAGAAGCAGACATCCAGGGAGTCCAAACACTGGAGTTTTCAAACCTTGACCATCAGACAATTCTGCTTACCATATCAAATAGATCAAAATAAAGATTGAAAATTTCAGAAGGAAACTAAAAGTCATACAAAGAAATGTAAGCCAATTTGAAAAATACATAGAAATTCTAGGGTATTTAGAGTGGTCTGAAACTATCATATAAGGAACATCCAAAAGTCAAAAAATGTTTAGCCTAAAAAAGGGGAAACACAGGTAAGTCCTAAGAGTAATCATCAGTTATTTGAAAAGAGCCTTTTCTATTGCCTTGATTCTGTGTTGCTCCAGGAAGCAAAACTAGATGCACTGGTTTGAAATGGCAGGGAGGCAGCTTTAAGCTCAGTTTGAGAAATATGTCTCCAACAATTAGAAATGTCCAAAATCACCTTCATTGTCTCAGAGAATTGAGATTGTTATCATCGATAGTGATCACCTATTTTTAGGCAGTTGCATACATTCCATATTATCAGAGAGTCTTTCTACTTCAAGTAAAATATTAAACTGTAAGGGCACTGTGTTTCTCAACTATAATTCTTTTGATTCCAAGTAGAAGCTAATATTGCCATAGACGTTACTAGAAAAATTCCAAACTGATATTTCCCAAAGTACGGTTTTAGAAAGTTCCAGGATTAAAATACTAGAGAAGAGTCCTGGGGTCAAAAAAGTTTGTGAAATTCTGAGTGAAGCAGAATTAAACAGGCTTCTCCATGGCAATATTTCTCAATGATTTTAATGTGCTCATTTGCATCAAAACATTCATGGGAATTTCTATGTGTAGCATTGATCATTTACAAAAACCAACTCTTTTCCTGTTCCTTATTTTCAAGACATGTTCTACAGAATACTTTTGGGAAAATGTTGGGCTAAATAATTCTACTCTTGATAATCTCAAAGACAATTTAGTGTTTTTCATTCTACATGAAGTCTTGAAAGAATTGAGTTGACAATATGATTCATATATAAACTTTTCATGAAGATAAAACCATGGAAAAACTATCATAATTTACCACAAAAGGTGTTCCCTTCTCTTTGTAAGATGTCACTTCCTTTCTCATAACGTATCATTGTTGTACTATGCATACTCCTATGTGACATAATCTAGTTGAAGTTCAGGCTATAAGAAGCAACGAAGTGCAGGTAGGAGAGGACAGTTGGAATTTTAAAAACCTCCTGGCATATCTAACTTACTTTAACAACTGGTTGTAGATCCATGAATTAGCCTAAACTTGTAAAAGCTGTTTGTTGTTGAAGCTGTTCTAACCATTAGAGCAGTAAGTTCCAAAAGTTTTAATTCTTTTCTGTTGCCTTGAGGATGTTACTTAAATGCAATGTGCCTCAGCTTTCTCATTTGTTAAATAGAAATCATGATCATAGGGCTGTTGCAAGAATTGAATTAAAGGAGATAATCCAGCACAGTGTTTGGCACATTATAAAAATCCAACAAATATTAGCTATAATTTTTATTGCAAGAGGTAGTACTTTGCTTTTGTTTGATCTTCAATACCATCCTGCTTCATTTGCATGACATGATGTATGTGAATTACCTACCTCTGTGCCTAACTCCTACTGGACACTCAAACTGGTAGTGACAGTGGTTGTGTTCTTTATAAACAGTTACCTCCTACTTGGTTTGAGGCTGGCAGTTTTCACCTTACAAAAGCCCTGCATTCTGCCCTATCTCAACAAATCTAGAGTCTAAAACAAATATTATTGGGTCATTGGAACTAGGTATTACTAGGTTACTGGAACTAGGAATTACTTATCACTTAATCTTTTGCACCCATTTCTTGTTTACAGCATTTATTAGTGTCTATAGTCAAATATGAGACAAATGAATCTCAGAAATGTTTAGTAATTTGTCTATGGTTATTCAACAAACCAAGAACCAAGTAACAGAAGCCTCTGTTCAATTATATCACCTACAAATCCACCAGTAAACAGCTGCTGGTAATGAGAACAATTTCCTTTCCTAAAAAGCTACTTCAACTAAGAAAAAAGAGGTATTGAATTGCTCTTTTTACAGTAATAAAACTGTCAGTTCAGTAATTTGTCTATGGTTATTCAACAAACCAAGAACCAAGTAACAGAAACCTTTGCTCAGTTATATCACCTACAAATTCACTAGTAAACAGCTGCTGCTGATGAGAACAATTCCCTTTCCTAAAAAGCTGCTTCAATTAAAAAAAAAAAAAAAAAAAAAAAAAAAAAACCACCAAGGTATTGAATTGCTCTTTTTGAGTAATAAAACTATCAAAAGAAAAAAAAATGAAAGTACAAAGACAGGGTCACGCTAGTGTTAAAATAAGCAATAGTGAATACAAGAAAGATGTGGCCAGGCACAGTGGCTCACACCTGTAATCTCCCCACTTCAGGAGGCCAAGGCAGGCGGATCATGAAGTCAGGAGTTCAAGATCAGCCTGGCCAAATAGTGAAACCCTGTCACTATTAAAAAAGAAAAATAATTTAAAAATACAAAAAATTAGCCAGCATAGTGGCGTGCACCTGTAATCCCAGCTACTCAGGAGGCTGAGACAGAAGAATCACGTGAACCTGGGAGGCGGAGGTTGCAGTGAGCCAAAATCACACCATTGCACTCCAGCCCGGGCGACAGTGTAAGACTCCATCTCAAGAAAACAAAAAAAAAAGGATGCAAAGAAAGGTTTAGCTTAGCTAGAGAAAATGATTTTGACAGGAAGGTTAATGAAATAAGACCATCGTTTGCTTAATAAAGTAGGGATATTAAAATCACAGACACTTTAGGAAAATGCAGATGTATTTATGGACAGAGTGTAAGAGTCCTATTTCAAGCAGAAAATACAACAGATATAAAAAGAGTTCTTTGCAACCTTTTCAACTGAACTCAATGATTCAGTCAAACGAAGAAAACAAAAATGCTTTAATAAAATTCTCTTTCTACTAAAAACGTGCTAAGTGGGTTTGTCAGACAAAATAAAACATTCAAGATATCTTGCTAACTTTGTATCCTCCTAGTTAATATATATTATTTACTCATATTAAATACATATCTACATTTTCCTAATGGATTACTACAGACATCACAGACTACCTGTAAACACACACTGTTTATCCTGAATCAAGAGGACCTGGCAAAGTAGAATGCATTTACAAACTAGGATAAATTTCCAAATGCCTTAAGCTTTAAGGTTTCTATTTTTCAAGTTATATATACCTATATGTTCATTATATATTATCTATATAATTATTTATAGAGAGCATAGTTAAATGGTCAAAAGTCTAGAACTTTCTCCCAGGCATTTCCTTATAAGTAACCCATCTTCTGTTCAATTTCCCATTGGCTTTAGAACTCACTCGGGCTTCCTTATTTTGAGGTATACATTAGTCTTCACAACCCAATCTAATCTGCTTCTGAAGGGTGATGTTAAGATATAAGAGTGAAGCCAAGATGCACTAGGATTGATGCCAGGTTGAGAGAATGAAATTAGAAGTAAAGACAATGCTGAGGTAAACTAGGCCATCTTTTACTTACAGCTGACACGTGCTGCAAGAGGCACATGACATCAATCATGTCCGCAAGAATAAGGAGTCTTGTCACTGCAGCCAGCAAGGCACGGGCGGCTTGAACCACAGCCTCCCTTTTTGGGAGAAAACAGGGGTCATCTGTGAATCTCTCAGCTGATACTTTCAGAGCTTCACCTGAAAAACACAACCCCGAATAAGTTATACTTCAAGTTTCAACTATGCCTATTTCAGAATTTATCAGCCAACCTAATTCCAAGTAAATTCCAAGATCAAGCATAATATAAAAATATTATCAGTTGACACTAGCATATTGTCTCTTAATAAACAATGCAATTTCAAATTAACATTTGTTTTTGACAAATATTCTGGAATTAAGAAGCATGATATCATTTTCTTGCAAAAAAAGTGCTGAATTAACTAAGAACATCTGGTAAAACTGCTGTCAACTTCTACATTTGCTGAATCTCATTTCTTGTAAAAGGTTTTATTACTAGAACTTCAATCATAAACAATTCTGCTTATAAAAACAGGGTAAATCTTTATTGAATTACTTTTCAACTCAATGGATGTTAGAAAAGAAGTAGCCTTAAGATAATAAGACTGCAGCTCTCTGATAAAAGTTTAACATAGGAAAATTTATTCTAAATTATCAATATAATGAGTAAACTATATCCTAAATTTAGTCACGGAAATAGTACTTCGCAGTGCATAATTGTTAGAGAATATTGTGTCCACTATTTTTAATGCTTTTTCATTTAAAATATATTTATTATAAAAGAAGTATGTATTCATTCATTGTTTTAAGTTCCCGGTTCAAAAGGGTATAAAATGAAAATATTTAATAAAAAGTCTCTCTTTACTCCCATCCAACAACATGATTGATAGAGAATTACCATATCCACTATTTTTTAAGGTTTTAAGTCTAAACGGTTTTTATTATAAAAGTATTATAACACATGTCCATTACTTTTAAATAATTCACTATACTAAAGAATATCAAGTATAAAATTTAAAAGTCTCCAAACGAATCCCCCAAAGCACCAATTATTCAGCTCTTGTATATCTATCCAGAAAATCTTCCATGAATGTATGATTTATGTGTATATGTATAGATACATACATGTTCTATATACATAAATGTATATGTATGTTTTATATATGTGTATGTTTTATGAATAGATTCATATACATTCACATATACAAATATATGTCCTTATAAAGACAGATTTTATAAGAAAACATAGTTATTTTACAAGTTGTAAGAGGAAAAGATAAAAATATAGAGCCTTTAATAAGTAGTATCATACTAGAGAAATTTTGTATAATTTCTTCTTTTTGATTATCAATTTGTTTTCCTTTTATACTTGGAAATAGACAACCAGGAGGCAATACAGCACGATAATTAACATTGTGGGCTCTAGAGCCAGACTGCTTCAATGTCTCTGTCCTAGTACCTTAATCAAGTCACTTAACCTCATTACTCTTCATTTTCTTTTTTTAAATTAATTAATAATAATACCTACTATTTTATGAGTATTAAATAAGAGCACATAAGTTATATTTCACTGATACATTGTAACTTATTTTACCAGGCCCCTACTTGAACACATAAGGTATTTCCAACTTTTTCCTATTTCATATAATACTACAGAGAACGCCCAGGACATATATCTTTGCATGCATGAACAAGTTTAGCTGTCAGATAAATTCCTAAAAGTAGAATTGCTGAGTCAAGGGGCAAATGAATTTTAAGCTTTGTTATATTTGCCACAAAATTATCCAAAATACAATCATCCCATCACAAATATACAAAAGGGTCTGTCTTACCGATTTATGGATTACATCCATAAATATTTTAGTTCTCATTGACTCATGAACCTTAGCATAAAGAAAATTTAGTCAGTTATTTTATTAAATAAAATAAAGAATACTGTTTCTTATAATAGATAAAACTTGTGAAGAGCTCTGAGACTGTCTTAACATGTTAATATGTCTCATTTAGATCTCTTTAGCAATACCAAGTTAGGAACTAGGACTCTAGATACTTCTGAGATCAAATTCTTACATGCCCCTTTTAGCTCTGGGAACTTGGACACTAAATACCTTCAATGTCCTTATCTATAGGAAAGGGGTAAAAATATGACTTATCTCACAGTGTTTCCTGGATGCTTGGATGAGACAGTTCATATAATATATTTAGCACAGTATTTAAACATGGAAAGTACTCAACAAAGATTAACTGTTTGTTATTTCGGGGGAAATTTCTAATAGAGATGGTAAATTTTTAAGACCAATAAGTGGATGATTTTCATGTGCTTCTCTGCAAGTCAGAATTGCTGCTATGAGACTATAAAAAGTTAAGCTGACCTCCAAAATTTGGAGAACAGATGAATGCCCACAAAAAAGGATTATTTTTTTCTTCTTGTAATTATGAGTTGGAAAGTTATAATAGCCTTTTTAGAATACTGCCTTTGACTTTACATACTAAAACTAAATATATATCAAAAAATTATGTATTTTTGACTCTAAAAAATGTTGGAATGTTGAACAACTGGCTGAAGAGCCATATTCAGAAAGAATTCATTTAAACAAATACTATATCCTTGTCTTCATTAAAGGGATATGAAGAGCCAGTCAGGTAGGTGTGTTGGGAAGAGTAAAGTCACTCCCAAAATACATTAATAAAGATGCTATAACTTAAATTCTTATTGCTGGACTTGTCCCTAATTTCCCCAATATTCCTAACCCCTTTCAGCTCGTTTCAGCCCACACTCTGGTCCTAACTTAAACATCACTTCCTATGGGAAGCTTGGACCCCCACCCCCCCATTACTAAGATAGGTCTTACAATGATATCCTATGCTTTCTACTGTAACTTTCATCATAATTTATTATAACAAATTGTGTCAAAACCTGTCTTTTCTTCTAGATCATAAACTAGTAAGTGCAAGAGCTGCATTGGTCCTGGTCACCCCAGCTTTCTCAGGATCTACAATAGTGCCTACTCTTGCATATATTCAACACATTGACTACAAATTGCTGAATGAGTATGTGCATGAATACTATTCAACTTTTATTTGATAAACATTTGTTGTTCCCTATATTAAACAACTGTATCCTAGGTATCCAGGATCTAGATATCAGTATGAAACAGTTTTGCAGCCCAAGAAGTTCAGAGTCAAGTGAAAGCCAACAAACACTAATACAATCTAAACAGGTCTCTGGTACAGGCCTGTACAAAGGACTAAGAGATACGGAGGAGGACCTACCTCTGCCTGAGTTGTCTGAAAAAATACAAAGGAATGTTCTAGGTAAAAGAAACATATTCCAACTCTGATAAGGTATTGATAATGATAGTTGGTTTATAGAATGTAGCTAGTTCACTGTCAAATTGATTTCTGACAGGAGAAAATGGTTGTTTTCCTAATTAAATAGAAAAAAAAGTACAAGTTTCCTTTCCATATAGAATATGAGCATCTATTTTTATAAAGTCTCATGTGAAGAGTCTACTCTTTTGAAATATCATTCCCAATCTTGCTTATAATGCTTTTACTTTGAAGTTTATTGAATAGGAAATTTCACTTTTAAAATACATACAAATAAAAATAACTGCTTTTTTCTTGAAGAAATTCCACTCTACACATAAAAATAATTTACTAAAGGTCTTGAAAATGCCACAAGAACTAGTTTCAGAAAACTTATTTCTACTGAATCCATTTAGTCCTTTTCCTAAAAAATGGGATTTTTTTAATCATTAAAAAAACAGTTATGAAATGCCTGGTAAAATAAGGTACTGGAGTATATAGTCTACAAATATCTATAGAGGTAACTTTTATACACCCATATAAGTTTAAGAGTTGAAAATTTCTGAATATACAAATATGTAGAATCTGACATATAAAACTTTTTATATAATCAAATAAATAAACTCCAGAAGTACAAAAAAAATTGTTGGCCAATACACATATTACAAAATATTCTTTATTTTATAAAGCTTGCTACATGTTCTTTTACAGGTTCGTTTGCTGCATTTAAAAGTATAATTCTACTTTCTAAAAGTGATTATATTGATTATAAACTTAAAAAGTCAAAGAAAACACGGTATAAGAAAAATATTGATAGGAAAAAGAGAATAACCAAAATGAAAAGGGGCAGGTACTAAAGATAAAAATTTCCCCAACTTTTATTTGACATTATGCTTATTATTCAATTAAGATTCCTGATATAGGCATCTGGCCAAGTGATACATCATGGTAAAAGGTTCATATTATACATATATAACATGCATTAGTACATATTCATTTATTCAATATATAATAGAGTTCACGGACTGAGACTAAACACTCAGGGTTTGTTTTTGTTTTTAACTGGGAAACTGCCATTTCGAATTTGAAAACTCTGAAGATGTAGAATCTTAAATTAAAATTTTTAGCAGACAATTATTACATTTGGCAGAAAAGAGGATAACCTCAATTCAATCCTAAACTTACACAGCTGTTTAAAAAAAAAAAAAAAAAACATTAAAAAAGACCCTCCTTTAAAATGTTCAAGACAGTTGGACTATAAGGAGCAAACATGTTTTGTATGATAAAAGAATATCTTATCATGGCAGGTGGAAAGGCAGGAAAGCTAGCCACTGCTGTGTGGACCCAGGGTTGGGTGCTACAGCAGGGTTGTAGACTAGGAATGCAGTTGCATATGATTGCTACTGCAAGCTATTGGCTGTGTTTTATTTCCATTTTATTACGTTCGAACTCAGTATAGTCTTATTAAAAGTTATAATTTGCTTCCAGCCAAGGCAGAGTAACAGAGACCAGATATCTACCTTTCCTACCTGAAACCAAAACATAGACCAAATAAATGCAAAAATGGTTATAAAGCACTGGATGTCAGGCAATGAAGGACAGTAATCCCTGAGAAATGAACAACAACAACAAAAAAGGATGATAGCCCAGCTTACCACCATGAGAGACTTTCCTGGCCACGATACAGGAAGAGGAAACCAAGGCAGAGCCTGGCAAACTCTCTGAGCTGAGGAGACAAAGCTGAGAGCCCTGGGAGATCAAGGCAGTAAAAGTACAAAATAGAATAGAATATGATAAAGAGAAGAGATCCACAGAGAAAGAACACAGGTAATCTGCACATGCTCCCGCTTGAGTATTCAGCTGAATACTG